AGCCTAGGGCTTTTAATAAGCTTCTAGATGGGGTTCATCTCTGAAGCCTCTGTACTATATAGCTTGTATTTTGGCAAGCATACAATGAGAAATTCTTAGTATGTTGACACCTTTTGTTGCATCTATATAAGTAGAATTGACCTAATAAATAAAACATCTAAATAGAGATTCTGAATACCAAAGTATTTTGAAAAGAAAAATGTGTGGTCAAATCCATATCCTAAGTGTAGAATTTGGTCACAATGAGGTACCATGAGAGAAACTGTGGCGCTTTACCTAGGCTTTTCATGAGTAAAATAAATGGATTTGTCATATTCTTGGCCAAGTTGAAGAAAAACAGTTTGCACCCTGACATTGGTGTTCTTCACCTCTGAGTCAAGTAAAAACAAAACAAGCAAATAAACAAACAAAAAACCCAAGAGGACATCTCTATTTATTTTGTGTAAGTTACTAACTCCCAAAATATCTCTAAATTTGAAAATATAAACAAGTGTCTTATAAAAATATTCCCCTTCTTCACCATGAAGAGGCATAGTATCAACCTGCAAACTTTAGTAACTTGAGATCTTTGTATTTAGTACCTGATGACTTTTATTAATTTGATGAGTAAAGTTTGGAAGTAAAAATCCCTTCTCTTCATACTTCCTTGGTGTGTCCATCTTCCTTCCAATTCATAACAAAATAAAGAAAAACAAAAGAAATTTTAAAAGACTGACATTATCAGTGAGCAGGGATGTTGATAGAAAGTATCCCTTTAAATTGGTAAGTTAGAAAATGAAAATTGACATTAGTATCACATACTTAGAAATGGACTGAAGTTTACATCACAGATGTTAATACACAAGGGGTTAGTATTCAATATAGAAAAAAGGCAGTTCTGTCTCCCAACTTTAGAAGTAATTATCTATTACATTTTGGCATTTAAATATGTTATACGTTCATAAATGGACAGTGCTACTGCATGTCATATACTAAAGAGAGTTTCCTATGGTGTAGTCCTGTTGGATAATACAAATTTTGATGCAATTTCTATCTGTATGAAATGTTTGTAATTGTCATGCAAGACAAAGTGAAAGTCAACAGTATTACTCTTCATTACCAAGAGACAAAAAAATAGAATGCAGCAAAATTTGAAAGGAAAGAGTTATCACTTAAAGCAAGCTTTTTGCCAGATTGTAAAACAACCAGATGATACAAATTTAAAACTAGAAGAATTCTTAAAGACCAGCTTACACAACCTCATAATTTTACAGATAAGAATTTAAAAAGTAAAGGCATATGATTAATGGCAAAGTTTTAGCAGAAATCAAAACACAAGGACATCTTGCATCTGCATATTATTATTATTACATCTGCATATTTTCCACTGTACCACATATTTAATGAAGCAATTATGCATATTAGTTGACTTCCTTGAGAATATGTATCTCTAGTACTTAGCATACTTTCTAGCACATGATGCCTGAAAGATTGTTGAATTGAATTGCTCTGATTAATTGCAAGTATGCAAAATTAAAGTAATGGAGATGGCTCCTAAGTACATAGTTTTAGAAGGTGGACCTTTCCAAATTAAATAATATGGTTAAACTTATGTAAATAACAAGTCTAGATAACTTATTTAATGGTTGGGAAAAAATAAGCCTTTTCTGCAGGATTTAATATACAAGCAGTAACTTTTCCCCTTTTATGTCTCTGCCATAGTCATCTTTTGAGACACAATTCAACTTTGAAGTTAGCTTGTACCCAGCTCTAGATGGAACTATATTTTATGAAGGGTATTTTGGATTCAAAATAAACACTGGCTTTTAATTTCAGCTTTGCTAATAACCATAAGCAAGGAACCTAACCTCTTTAAGCCTAAGTTTTCTCATCACACTTCACTGTCCTTACATATTTTATATGTATTGTGGAGATACCTGTAGACTGTTTTAAAAATTCTGACTTCTGCTGATATTTCAAGAAATTGATCTCATGATGGTATTACCCAAGATTGTTGGGAGATTAATTGAGACCATATATATCAGAAAAAACATCATAAAATGTGAGTGATACTTAGAACAACTCAGTAAGTACAATCAGAAGAATGCAGAAATGATTTAATGTACTGTTGTGTAAATGTTTTTCACAGGACAAAAACTCAATAAATAATATTCAATAAATAAAATGTTAATATGTTTACCCTTAATGCTCTGCCTACTTTGTTTATGAAATATTTCTTATTAATTATTGTCAGAGCACTGGGAGCTGTAAATGGAGGTATTATTTAGAATTTACACAGTTAGTAACTCAGGTCTACCTAACTCTAAAACTCGTTCTCCTCATAAAATACTATGAATGAAATTACTGTTTATGAAAAGTGAACCTTTTCACAAGATGGATAAAGCTGACAAAAGATGTACAACTTTGCTAAAAATGAAAAGATGATATTTGACATAGGTCTTGAAGAACAAATAAGCTATAGATTAGAGAGGCTGCATGTGCAAAGGCATAAAGTCAAAGATATTATCTGTTTTGCTCACTGCCATATGTTTAGCATCCAGAACAGGCCCTGGTTTATAATAGGTCCTTAGTACATCTTGATTGAAAGAACAGATGCATGAATAAATTCCCCTGTATTACTCAGGTTCTCCAGAGAAACAGAACCAAGAAAATATCTTATCAAGACGAGATTTATTATGAAAAATTGGTCACATTATTCTAGAGGCTACTAAATCCCATAATTTACCATCTGCAAGCTAAAGACTTGGGGAGCACTTCAGTCTGAGTCTGAAGTCTGACAACCAGCGAGCCATTGATATTACAATCTCAGTCTGAGTGCAGAAGAAGATTAGATTAACTATCCCAACTCAAGCAGTGAGACAGGAAAAGGAAACAAATCCTATTCCTTTTGTTCTATTCAGGAACTCAGTGGACTGGATAATGGTCATTCACATTGGGGAGGACAACCTACATTAATGACTCCGTTGTTTGAAGTATTAATCTCATACAGAGACACTCTCACAGACATACCCAGAAATAATGTTTATTCTGGGAATCCAGATTAAACATTAATGGCATAATCAACTTGATGTAAAATTGACCATCATAGCTATAATACAGAAGCGGGCTTGAACAGTATGTGGTGGAAAAACTAGGATGTAAAGCAGAAGCCACAGAGCAGGGCCAAATTGTGATGAGATTTGAATTTCCAAGGAAATACTATAGGTGTAGAGACATTATCTCTGGTTCCTACTACCCAGCTCGTTTTATCCACAATTCCCTGAATGTACTTCACCATTCAGAGGTGAATACAATAAGATATGCTATACCCTGTGCATATTAGAGTGGAACTACTTGTTATAATACCTCACAACCACTAGTATATTCTTGGAATGCTTGGAAAAAATACTAAGGAATTAAGTGGGATAACACACAAAATATCTCACTATTTGATATTTTCCTTCTTGACTAAATATACGCTAAATGAAAGTAAATTCTAGCTATCATTATGACTCAATTAAGATCTAATGAAGGGAAACTAATGACAAATACAATGCTTCCTCAGTAATTACTTATTGTTCTAAAATGTTTATTTTCTGCCTGGTACTATTGCTCATTAACCATTGTGAAAATCCTTAAAGACAAGTACTATTATTATTCTTATTTTAAAGATAAGAAAACTGAAGCTTGCTTAGTGAGATGAAATATTTAGGGGGTATAACTAATATGACTTTTTTGTTTTTTTAGCTGTGAACTTTGAGGGAATACAAGAATTTAGAACAATACCTAGCTTTCTGGTGTGGACAACTGACTGGGTGGTTGTGTCATTCACTGAGATGAAATTTAGAGGAAGACAAAGAGGATGAGAGGGAAGAGGAAAAGAGGGGGTTCTTGAGGTGCAGTACTGTAGAAATGTACTAGGTCAGTTGTGAAGTACATTAAATTTTAGGTGTCTGAATAAGATGCCCGGCTATTATTAAATAGCTAACTCTGGATTATAGGAATTTTGTCTGGGCTTCCTATCTTGGTGAATGTAATCACCATATAGATCAAAGCCAAAGCAAGGAGGACGGTTAAGATCACCAAGAAGTATGTGAAGAGTAAGAAGACATGCGAGTGTAGGGCAGGAACATGTAAGAAGCATGAGCAATTTAAAGAAAAACAGTGCCACCGAAGTGAGAGAGAAACCTGGAGAGTTTAGTGTCTTATTACTAGAGAATAACGGGTTTCAATGAAGAGGGAATAATCGATATAAAATCTCGCAGAGCTGAAGTATGATAATGGCTGAAAAATATCTACTGTTTTTAAACAACACTTGAGAATTTGACTGGAATAGAGAAGTGGGAGAAAGATACTAGCTGAAGTCTCTGTGTGGTCAGGGTTGAAAAAAGTGGGTATGCGAGGTTGAAAAAGGTGACTTTTTTTGGTCTTCAAATATGGGTAATAAACAGCGAATAAGCAGGGAGTCTGTGACGAATAATGAAAAGGGAGCGTTCATCAGAGAGGCTACAGTGCTTTTGGTAAGAGGGAGTAGGGATGTAGTGGGGCAGGCTTAGAGCAAAGGAACATAGGTGTTTTTACGATTGTTGAAAAAGAATGGAATAAAGGGTTGGTGAGGGGTACAAGGAAGTTAGAAATCTTCCTGGCGAAAATGGAGGAAGTTCCCATCAAATGGATTCTGCTTTGTGAAGTAGCAGGCGACTTTACCTGCGAAGACTAAGCGGGGAGATGGCGGGGGGAAGCCTGACTCTTAATTTATCCTGCCGACTCTACACTGGCAAACTATGTTGCGTTGCAACCTATCATTTTTTCCGATCCTTGTACAGCGTTTGACATTGCTTACAAGAACTGTATACCCAATGTGCGACAGAACTGGTGCTGTTCCAGTCGGAACTACCACTCCCGGAATGCAATACGGCTCTTGGGAAACGCCGGAGGCTGGGAACTCGGCTGATGCTGCCGGACGGCCCACTCCCATTGGAGGAAATTCACTCCCAGGAGGCCACGGGTAGGCGGGGCGCTTTACACGGAAGTCAGTGGCGTCTAGTTCCATCCGCTTCTGGGAGCCGGCAACCGGCCTCCCTGGGCTGACCTGCGCCCCTCGGTTCTGAGCCTGTGTTCCCCTAGAGGGTGCCCGGACAGGTAAATGGAATGGGACGTGCTCCGTGGGAGGCGAGGAGATGACGGCAGAGGGAGGGCTGAGGTGCAGACAAGAAGGTGCTCAAGCGGAGCAAAGAGGCAGTGCAAGAGTGACTTGGGTTTCTCTGATGTCGACAGTCTGAATTGTCCTGCAGGTCCAGTTTCAGCTGCTTGCGTTGTATGCCGCTGAAAAGGTCTTGAGTTTAAGAGTGTCACAGTGCCTCACTAAAGTTGTCATTACAGGATAGGAAAATGTTAATTTTCTCTTATTTCACGTTCTGCAAGACCTTTCTGTAACATTTGAATCTTTTCAGATTGCCAGTCCTCTAAAAACTCTTAACACCCTTATTCAGAGACGTCACTTTGCGCTTCACCTTGTACTTATGTCTGCTCCTGCTTTTTTGTGAGTGCTTAGCTCTCTCTGCACCCATCCTCCACCTACCTCTCAGTACAGTATTGACATGTCTCTCCTCGGTTCGAGTAGAAACTATGTCTCCGCCTAGATCTCATTTCTCAGTGTCAGACCTGTTTGTTATTCTTACTTTACTTGACGTCTTATATATAAAATTGATCATGTACTTGATTCATTGATGAACGCTTTACGTCTCCGTCTACCATAATGCCTACAACCAATAATCAAGCCTTTTTCTATTAATTGGTCTCAGCTACCTGTAACCTCATTCTCCCACTTTTGATCCCAGAGGATACTGTCATGCATAGAACATTCTTTCCCTTTGAATAGCTGTGGCTGAGAACACATCCATACATATACTTAACAAATATTTATTGAATCGCTGATATGTGCTAGACACTCTTCTAAGGGCGGAGGATAAGCTGTAAATAAGACATAGAAAACCACTCAGGAACTTGTATATGTGAAGAGCAGGGGCAAACAGGAATAATCAAAACGATGTTATATTTTGGTTAATGCAAAATAAAACACGTGTGTTGTAGAATCTTATCCTAAGTAAGTCAGAGGGATTGAGTTGAGTCTCAGAGCCTGGTCCAAAAAGAATACTTATGAGGGGCTGGGGATTTAGCTCAGCGGCACAGCGCCTGCCTGGCAAGTGCAAGGTCGTGAGTTCGATTCACAGTACCGGAACCCCCTCCCCCCCCCAAAAAAAATATAATACAAAGAATAGTTTCAGTTTGTAACCTGACATTTAAACAACTTTTTTCCCCTGTTTGTCAGAGCAGTGCTTTTTTTTTTTTTTTTGGTCTTTCTGAGACAAGGTCTTTCTATATAAAGTTCAGACTGGCCTTGAACCCACTTTGTAGCCCCGCCTGGCCTCAAACTCCCAATGATCCTCCTGCCTCAGCCTTCCGAGTGTTGGGATTACAGACGTGTGCAACCACGCCTGGCAGCGGTGCTTTTTTTTTTCTTTCTCTTCCGAGGTTGCTGCATCAAATTCATTTGTCACTGACTTATTTTTTCCTAAGACTCAGACAGGAGAGTTCAGGATTGGATTGCTATCAACTTTATGAATTTGATACCAAATATGTATATCTAGATATAGATATATAGATATATATTCTCCTTTGCACTGAACTGCATTCCAAGCCCTTGTTAAAATTTTGAACTTGTGATCTTCCTGCCTCAGCCTCCCACATTCTGAGATTACAGGCATGATGTGCCGCTGACATCCAGCTCTAAAATATTCTTTTACTAGACCCTACTGGGTATTAAATAAGCTATCATTTATAGTATGTTTAAAGCCAAAATATCCTCAATGTTTACTAATTTATGCAACAAATACATGAGGGAATATTATATGTCAGGCAGTGTGCTGAGCTCTAGGAAAATAGGGTAACACAAACAGTTTGATCTCTCATCCAAGGAAAAATAATACAGTACACTGAGGAAATTCCTAACACATAGGCTGATTTCTTTTCTCCATCCAAACCCAGATAATCACAAAAATGTTAAGAAATCTGAACAATTTTAGAAATTCCTACTCATTACACTTTTTTTGTCTGTCTGCCCATTATACTATGACTCCCTTGACTATAAGAGTCTCTTCTTCCTCAATTTCATATCTCCAGTGTCTACTACTTTGTCATAAACCCTCAGTACCGATGTGAAAATAGACTGTCCATTTGATGCAATTAAAATGACTAAATTTATATACAAGGCCTTCTTTATATAAGGCTATCACCCTTATTCCTCAACCTTTTCATTCAACAAAGATGGACCATTTTATCTCATCAGACTAGTTTATTTACTCTCCTTAGCTTGTTCTTATCTTTGTTCTCTCTGTCCTAATATGAGTTCCATCTTTTTTCTGAGCATTTTGTGCACCCTTCTGCATTAATTTAATGAGGCAATTAATTTAGTAATATGCTCATGATACAAGGGTGCAGATTTTCCATTCTGTGTTTCCTTGAAAGATTCTTCAATGAACTATTATGAAAGCATATCTCATTTTGATAATACAGTAATACAGAATGCTTTCTTTTGATTTTGCATTAACTATTACCATGTATTATATTATGTATTAAAGTCTCCCATTTCTTTGTTTGAACAGTTGCACAACCTTTGTTCATATAGCATATTATGGCATAATTTGGTTGCCTCTTGGTACAAATACATCTGTATTATTTTCTCCTAAGTCTTGCATATTGTTATTGTGCCATGCTGTCATTGGTAGAATGTGAGATGAAATTCTCAATTTTTAAAGTCTTATTCTATGCAAATATCTTTCAATTGTAAATTGTTACTCTGAAAGACAAATTTTATCTTTATTTATTTATTTATTTATTTTTTTTTTGGTTTTTCTCCGGTACCGGGAACCGAACTCACGACCTTGCGCTTGCCAGGCAGGCGCTTTGCCGCTGAGCTAAATCCCCAGCCCCAAATTTTATCTTTAAAACTGATTTTAAAATGCAACAGGAATATAAGATTACTTGAGTCATGATTGCCATTATAAGTTTAGGGCATGCTAAGCTGAGATCAGACATTTAAAAGGTATTAAAAATTAAACATTGTTATTTTGGGAAATTTACAAGCACCTATACTTTTCATAAACGTGAACATAAATGCAGCACTGAATTGTGTCTTTGTTCAGTTACAAGATATACATGGAAATGATCTATAATAGTCGCATACATTTTTAATGTTATCAGAATAGAAATATGGGGCCAGGGATATAGCTTAGTGGCACAGCACCTGCCTGGCAAGCACAAGGTCCTGAGTTGAATTCCCAGTACCAAAAAAAAAAAAAAAAAAAAAAAAAAAAAAACAAAGAAAGAAAGAAACAAATAATGGACTTGAGTGTGAAGACCATTGACTTGGTATTTTCTCCTATTCAATTCCCTGAAACTATTTTAAACCTCTACTTAGGAATGCCTCTGCTGAGGAGGAGCATGCACAATATTGTTGTGTTATTTTGTTACTACATTTTTTATACAACTCCTCACAAATGGATATATTCCCAAAGTTTCTTTATAAGCTTATAATTTGAAACTCTGGATGCATTTTTCTCTATAAATAACACTATTCTATGACATTTAAACTGTTCTTTGCCAATCAGTAACTTCTTATTAACCTATAACTTTGGGAATTCCAAAACCATTCCTACAATTTGTAATTCCTCTATAGAAAACTACATTTAGAGTTCTTCTTTGGATTATCCCCTGGAATAACTTTGTTTTGAAATTATGGTAACTGGAACAAAAATACCCTTTACTTAGAACCTTAACACAGTAAAAACAGGCTCTTCTAATTCCAAGCTAATGTAGGTTACCCTTCTGGCTCATAACTCTAAGGACTGGCCTCTGACATGACGGAGGAAAAAGATGGGGTGGAGATTTTATAGAAAAGAGGGAGGGAAGTTAGTTGAAGTGATGTGAATACTCTATATAGATGGGATATTAGGATTGATTTGGGAGGAACAGTGAGTTTCTAAAATGGGGGTTTGTTATAGGATGAATTGTGTCTTTCAGAAAGCTAAATTCAAGTCATGATCCCTGGGTCATTATTTGAATATAGGGTCTTGGCAGATGTAATTAAGATGTAACTTAAAAGTGAGATCATACTGAGTACAGTGGACCCTTGATCCCCTCATATTGTCTTCTTATAATACCAGCAGTATTTTTCACAAAACTAGAAAAAAAAAGATTTCCAAAAAAAATTTTTTTTTGAGACACGGTATTTTTATGTAGTACGGGCTGTCAGTTGAACTCACTATTGTAGCTCAGGCTGGCCTTGAACTTGCAGCGATCCTCCTGCCTCAGCCTTCCGAGTGCTGGGATTGTAAGTGTGCACCACAAAACCCGACCCACAATTTATATGGAACCAGAAGAAACCCAGAATAGCCAAAGCAATCCTGAGCAACAAGAACAAAGCAAGAGGCATTATAATCCCAGACTTTAAGTTATACTCCAAAATATAGGGGCTGGGGATTTAGCTCAGCGGCAAAGCGCCTGCCTGGCAAGCGCAAGGTCATGAGTTCGGTTCCCGGTACCTGAGAAAAACCAAAAAAAAAAAAAAAAAAACCAAAAAAAACCCACAAAATATAGTAATAAAACCAGCATGGTGGTGGCACAAAAACAGACATGTTGACCAGTGGAATAGAATAGGAATGAAGAAACAACCTCAGGCACCTTTAGCCATCTGATCTTCCAGGAGTCAAAAACATACATGATAAAAGATGACTTCATTAACAAAAGGTGCTGGGAAAACTGGTTATTCACATGCAGAAGAATGAACCTAGATCCATATCTCTCACCGTGTACTAAAATAAAAATGGATCAAAGACCTGAATATAAAAAAAAAAAAAATGCTGCCCAGGCATGGTGGCACATGCTTGTAATCCCAGCACTTGGGAGGCTGAGGCAGGAGGATCACTGAGGGTTCAAAGCCAGCTTGGTCTGCAAAGTGAGTTCCGGCCAGCCTGAACTGCAAGGTGAAACCCTCTCTGAAAAAGATACCCACACACACACCCCAACTCTGTTTTATTGTTATTTTTTTCTTTTTAAAATAAAAAAAATTCTGACTATAGTGGAAGAAAAAAGTTGGTAAAACTCTTAAATACATGGGCATAGATTAGGACTTCCTGAACAGAACCTCAGTTGTACAAAATATAATACCAAGAATCAATAAATGAGATTGATTAAAAAGCTTCTACACAGCAAAGGAAAAAACTACAGAATGAAGAGACAGCCTACAGAATGGAAAAAAATTTTGCCAGCTTTTTCTCAGGCAGAGGACTAATATCTAGAACATAGAACTGAAAAAAATAAATCTCCCCAAATAAAAGACCCAATTAAAAATGGACAGTTGAAATTAGTAGACACTTCCCAAAAGAAGGACAGATGGCCAATAAGTACATCAACAAATGTTCAGTATGTTTGGCCATCAGAAAAGTGCAAATCAAAAGAACACTGGCATTCTATCTTATTGTAGCAAGAATAGCTATCATCAAAGATTCAAAAAATAATGAATGCTGGCAAGGTTGTAGTGGAGAAGCAATGCTTTTATGTTGGTAGGAATATAAACTATATCCACTGTAAATCAGTATGGTGATTTCTTGAAAACATAAGAAATTGCCAGGCATGGTGGCTCACATCTGTAATCTCAGCGCTCGGGAGGCTGAGGCAGACTTTGTGAGTTTGAGGCCAGCCTGGGCTACAAAATGAGTTCAAGGCCAGCCTGAAGTGCGTAGTGAAACCTTGTCTCAAAAAGACAAAAAACCAAAAACAAACCTGAGAAATTGTATTCGACCCAGCTATACCTCTTCTGGCTATCTTTCTGAGAGAGTTAAAGTCATCGTTTTCCAGTGATACATACCCATGTTTATAACATCCCAATTCACAAGAGGTGAAGTATGGAAGTGGCTTATATACCCATCAATAGATGAATGTATGAAGAAAATGTAAATATATTATATATTAGAGTAGTACTCAGCCATAAAGGAGGATAAATTTGAGTCATTTGCACAAAATTGGTGCATTTTTGAGACCATAATACAAAGTGAAATATATCCAACCCAGAAGATTAAATATTACATTGTTTCTTGGAGAAGCTCAAAGTATAAATATAGAGCAAAGTAAAAGAGAGATGGTAGGAAACAAAGAGGTAGACTCTGTAGAAATGGGAAGGGGATGTGGGGAAGGAGGGAGAGGGGAAGAGGAGGATAGAAGGGAGTAAAAATGATCAGTATGCAATCTGAGTGTGTGTGTGTGTGTGTGTGTGTGTGTGTGTGTACCAATTCCATGAGTGTAATTACTGTGTATCAGAAACATATTAATTAAAAATCAGAAGAGACACAGATTATTGTGGTTTGTGTCTGGGTGTCCCCCCTCAAAGCCACATGCAGTCATGGGGTGGGCTTTTAGTTTATGATTGATCCAATGTTGAAATTATGGATGTGAGTGCTATACCTGCCCTGGGGCAGGTAGTTGGCATACAATGTAAGGGAGGGAAAGAGGCTGCTGCTGCCCCTCCTCCCTTTTACTCTTGTTGCTTTTGCTGTCTTCCACCACCGTGAACGGTTGCCCTCTGCCATGTGCCACCCTGCCTTGGAGCCAGCTGAGTATGGACTGAAACATCCACAAACTGTGAGCTAAAGAAACCTTTCCTTCCTTAATTTTGAGTGTTGGGTATTTTGTCTCAGCAATGAGAGAAAAGTAACCAAGACACAGATATAATGTTATATGAAGACACAGAAGTAGAAATGAAGTACTGCAGTTGCAAGTCAGAGAACACCAGTAATCTCTAGCTTATTACCTAGAAGCTAGATAGAAATAAGGAGTTCTCTACAGATTTCAGCGGGAGCACCACCCTATCAGCTTTTGTGTTTCTGGCCTTCAGAAGTGTGAGATAATAAACACCTGTTGTTTTAAGCCACTCAGTTTTGGGTATTTTGTTACTGCAGCCACAGGAAACTAAAACAGGATTCTTAGTAGGAATGAAATGAAGAGTGAATAAGAGAACAGAGAGTAACATTGTCAAGATAGGGATTTCTTGTAGATTCCGTTGTCTTTTTTTTCCTCTTTCTAATTCCTTTTCTTCTGAGTATTATATTTAAATTGTGTGAATGGTTTATTAAGCATTCACATATTGCTAGTACAGTAATTAGTAGAGCCAGGTTTTCTGACTTCAAATACAGTGTTTTTTTTCTGTTGCATTTGTTTCAGTAATCTCAGTATTCAATTAGATGTTATACTTTGAACTGCAAGAGTTACAGTGGGAGCAGGTGGGACTTGATGATAGATGGCAAAGGAAGGAATTTGTATTTGTGACATCTGGAAGGAAAGTTAATTTTATATTGCTGCTTACCTAATGTTTAACAGTCAGTGATTTTTCATTGGAAACTGCTTTTATTGAACAAAACACTGCCTCTCCATAACTTCTATCCATTGTTCCTAGTTATACTCTGGATAATGTCTTCCTTGTTCTAAGTGACCGTACTTGAAAACTGCTGGTTCCTTCTAAGTGTTCTCTTTGTCATGTAAAATATCTGTAGTTCTTCCAGCCATTGTTCAACTGATATGGTCTCAATTTCCAGGTCTTTTACTGATGGAGTCTCACTTCTGCCCAATCTTGAGATACAATACGCAGAACTGAATTCATTATTCCATGTGTGTTCTACCCAGCACAGAGTGTAATGGCAATAGTACATAGAGATCAAGGCACTGTATTTCTTAATGTAATTTAAGATTATGTAAGCATTTTAAGCAATCACCTCATCTTGTTGGTTCATAATGAATTTACAGTCCACTAAACAATAGAGCTTTTTATATTGTGAACCTGAGTTTACTTCTTGAAGCTGCACATGGTTGTAGGCTGATACTACTTTTTCGTCTTTCTGTCAGGGGGACTGTATGATTTCTTATCTCTATGTTTTTGATCTATTCCATTGTATGTGTCTTTGACCCTAAGCAAATGGGCACCTTTGTTATTATACAATTTCAGTGACTGTTTCACAGTCTTCATTCTCTGCATAAACAAAGTCAGCTAATACCCAGTGAACATAGCTGACGTGTTACCTTCTTGAAAGTTTCTTTGCCTTTCATCTCTGGGTCACCACAGTCTTCTGGCTTTCTTGGCTTTTCCTGTTGGTTGTCCCCAGTCTTCTTATGGGTCTCTGCTCTTCTACCTCTTCTTCAACTGTTGGTTGTGCCATGGGTTTTATCATTGGCATTATTCTTTTTTTGGTATGCACTATATTTTCAGATAAATCATGTTTAAAATGGCAGGTCGAGATGAGCTCATCTGGACATAAAAGGGTGTAGAATCAATCTCTTAGGAAAGTCAACATTTAGAGGTAAGGTAGAAAAGAAGGAGTCAGGAAGAAAATAAGAGATGATGCCAAGAATTTGAAGTTTTAGCAAGTGACTGTCACTGTGCCACCCAATACAATTCATGTTCTCACTACAGTTGTAGAACAACTGGCCTGTTAGGTGAAAATGAGCATGTTAATAAATATCATTAGATTGAAGATTAGTAAGGTGTTTATTCATTTCTATGAAATAAAAGAAAACTAGTCTGTTACATGGGGAAATGCAGCACATATTCACAGCCATATGTAAGGAAAATAAACTGAAGCTCATACCATATTGTTTTCATATTGTTTTATTTATGAAGGATCTTATCATAACTTAGAAAATTATTGCTGTGTTATGGAATGTTTGGGTTACTTTCACTTTGTTTCTATTACAGACAATGCTGTTATACTAGAGGTAGTAATCCATATGGTGCAAGATTATAGGGTCTAGAATCATATTGCTTAGGTATAAATTGCAGCTCTGTCACTGGCTAGCTCTGTAATTTTGGGAAAATTATTTAAGTCATCTGTGCTTCAGTTTCCTCGTCTATATTAGGAATGTCATAATAGTGTATAATCTCATTGAGGTGTGAGGATTAAATGGATTTATGAGTATAAAGTACTTAAACTGACCTGTCACATACTGAGCACGTAGCAAATATGGGTTATTATTATTGTTAGTAGCTATCTTTGTGAATCTAGAATCTAACTTCTGTTAAACTATTTCCTTAGGACAAATTTTTAGTATGAGATTATTTCTTTAGCGTCTGAGGGCATTTTTAGTCCCTTGCTATCTGTGGTCATTGCTTCTCAAAAGGATGATATCATTTTGTATTATATAATTTGTGAATGCAATCTGTCACTGGTATATGCATATCAGTGTGCCTTATAAGCTGGTAGAAGACTGAGTTGTTTGTTTGTTTTTGGTGCTGGTGATCAAATCCAGGCCTCACCTGCTAAGCACACTCTCTACTATTGAGCTATTCTCAGCATCTGTTAAACCTTTTGTTAATTTTAAAATTTCACATTATAGTGCTTCGTTCAGTAGTGTCCAAGTGGATACTGATAAATGATAAGTTACTTGTGAAAGATCATGTCAAAGACATATTCTAAATTTGTGGGGTTTTTTTTCTTTTAATAGATTGAAGCCATGGCCATTCTTTTTGCTGTTGTTGCCAGGGGAACCACTATCCTTGCCAAACATGCTTGGTGTGGAGGAAACTTCCTGGAGGTGACAGAGCAGATTCTGGCAAAGATACCTTCTGAAAATAACAAACTAACATATTCACATGGCAAGTGAGTTCTGCATGTGGTAGAGTGTTAAAGAAAGGAATTCTCTTGTAATCAGAACAGTAGAAAACTAGAAAGCAAGCATCTAGGTAGATTAATTTGAATAAGCTGAGCGATCAATAACCTAGTTTTGTCTGGTTTATGATATATAAATTTAATTTAAATATATAAATATTTAAGTTAAATATATAAATTTAAGTTGTGATTATTTTATTCTATCATTGAAGTAATATTTAAAAGACAAATATAGAAATATTAGTCAATTTTATGTAAAAATGACTTTGCTATGGAGTTCTTGGGTAGGAAAAATGATGCAGAAAATATAAATAATATCCCTTTGCTCATTCTTTTAGTAAATAAGTGTATTAATTTAGGCACTTTGTTTGGCAATGGGGTTATAACAAAAATGCAGTATTTGCCCTCGTAGAGATTATATTTTTTAACAAAGGAGACAGCCAAATGCATAGATAATTATAGGAGAGGATTGGAGTTAGTGGGTAAGGGGATAGTACTCCAGGTAGAAGGAGCAGCAGATAGGGATGTATGGAAGCTGAGATGATTTAGGGAACTATAAGTTCTCCGTGACTGGTGCTCAAGATCAAGTTAAAGCTAGAGAGGTGGATAGAAGACAAGTCATGTGTGGCCCTGGAGGGCATGTTAAAAGTTTGGAAGTACTGAAAGTTTTCATCAAGTTTATGATAGAAGTTGCTTTAGAAAGATCACCCTTGTGGTTTATGGAGAAAGCATAGATGGAAAATCTTAGTGTGTTAGCCTTCCTCATTGGTGCTTAAAAATGTTTTGTTACTTAAACCATCTTTATTTCCTTAGTTCTTATTTCAGAAGGAATTCTTCTTACTTTCTAGGATTAACTCCTTTTACAATTTGGAATCCATTCTAAGTTACTACGAGAGAGACCCCAACATATGGAATTAATTTAAATGAGATAGTCCAGAAAAGAATGGTTTAGAGCTGATGGGATGTCTCAGCCATTCTCAAGAGAAAGAAGTACCTTTCAGCTTTGACCAATGTGCTTCTTCTAGTTTCTGTTACATCCCACTGCTTTCCCAGTGTTCTTAAAGGCAGTGCCCAGAAGTGGCCTGACATTTTATTATTCAGAAATTTCTCCTTATGTTTTATTATTTGCTATATAGTTATGCAGCTAACTCAGATAGAAAGAAGGCCAGGAAATATCAGTGTGTTGTCATAGGTTTAGCTAAAGCTGTTGTTACTCTGCAGGAACTTATAGGATATTGAGAGATAACTTGAAAAGTATTACATTCTACTCTTTCAGCTATCCAACTATCTGGGTGGACTCTTCTTCTCAAACATGCCTTTTCTCTGAGAGCAGTAGCCCCCAAAATTCATCTAGTTGTTGTGTTTTGTTCTAAATCCAGAGTTTCTGGGTGATACACAGTCCTCTACTTTAGGCCCAAGAATGACTCCCATGGCCCACTGGCCATAAACTAAAAGACAAGTTGAATGATTCCCCGACTCACCTGGCTCAACCTTATAAACAATGGTGATACAAGAACAGGATCACTAAATTGAGAATGACAAACTCATTTGGGGAAGGGGAGAACAAGAAACAGAAGTCATTGCTTCTTAGCACAGTAGCTGGCCCAAAGTAGATACTCAAATAAATGTTATGGAGAACTTAGCAGAAAGGTATATGCTTCGTAGTCTTAGGGGGAAAAAAGAAAACCATGTGGCCTGTTGGGGATTCTTGTGTGTCCTTCCTATTATGACATCTTTTGTTCTGCCCTTGTGAGTGCACTTATTATAATTCTGCATCTGTCATCTTAATGAGCAATGCAAATGCTTTTGTTCTGTATAGCTGGAGTAGGGAGGTTCTTTCATTTTTTTTTTTTTGATTCATATCAATTTAACCTGAGCGTGATAGATTATAAACTATAAGGTAATGGCAGTACTGAACTTGCTTATCGTAGAAGATAGACATGAAAGAGATTTTGCTTATAACCATACTAAATTTTATATCTTCTTTCTACAGTTATTTGTTTCATTACATCTGCCAAGACAGGATTGTATATCTTTGTATCACTGATGATGTAAGTAACTTAAAGACATATATTGCCATTTAATCATGTACTATTAATACCATCAGTTCTTAGTTATCCATACCTGTGGTGGGTAAAGATAATAGAAACTTTCTGTAGCTGTAAATTGTTTTCTACCCTTTCTATTTGTCATACAGAGCAGCATTTGACAAAACTTGATACTTTGATATGTACAAAATCCTTCAGTTTTTGGAGTTTTAATCTTTTGCAACTTCAACAGTTACCTTATGGTATAGTGAAAATTGATAATCATAATTGTGATTCTTTAGTACCAAAGCTTCTCAAAAATCGTTTAACTGAATATTAAATAGATTATTTTATTCCTCTAATCAATAGTTGTTAAATTTGTAATATATATGAACTTTGGAAAAACAGAATCTCAATACATTATGATCAGCTATGTAGACTTGTAGTTTACATTGGTTAGGTTGGGTTTTTTTCTAGTTTTAGTTTTTGTTTATCTCTAGACCCAAAATACTCAGTAACTTAGTAATGTTATCAAGTTACTTTTTTTTTTTTTTTTTGGTATTAAGAATCAAACTCAGGGCCTCATGCCTGTCAGGCAGGTGCTATGCCACTGAGCTACATCCCCAGCTAATGGTGTCATCAAGCTGCTTGCTCTTCTCTGCTTTTCTTAGCATCAGTTTCTTCCCAGACTAGTTAGCTACATGCTTATTTATTCATGTGCAGAGAAGAGGGACTATGTTTTTGAATCTTTTTTTGTAGTAAAGAGGAAACTTTTCCCAAATACATGCTCTGCTCTCCTTGCATCTCACTTTCAATGTGAACTTTTTTCATGTCTTATTGGTGACATACTTCTTTCTAAACTGTTTGCTGACAGAAGTCATGGAGTGTCATGATGGTTACAAGTCATAATTTCTAACTTTTATTGTCACAGACCTCTTTGTCACTTGTGGGCCCTGTTCATAATGTTCTTATATATAAAATAGAACACACATGTTTCAGAACAAAACCAATTATATTGAAATACATATATATTTACAATATCCAATATAGTTTTAAAAATTATACTTCTTTATGAGTAATATTTATACTTCTTTATGAACTCATTAACAAGACCTAGTCATGGGTTTAGTAACTAATCTTGAAACCATGATGAGCATGTAAATGTTATTTTAAAATAGCTGTAACTGTGATGGTACATGAAAAAAACATTTCTGTAGGTGACAGAATTATAGGCACTATTTCATGCTACTCTGGTTTGTTACCAACATTCACAACTGAAATTCTAATTTATGACTTTTTTGGCTTAAACTAAGCATCTTGAGTGAAATGGAAATGACTGTTAAAGATTGAAAGTAACACTGAGATTTTTTTGTTCTATCCAGAGATTTTTTTTCTATCATCTTGAAATTTGGCCAATGATTCCAATTTATGAATTCCTTGGCTTGGCCTAAACATCTTAGGTGAAATGGAAATGACTGTCAGTCATAGCAATCATCAACATGTTAGTCTGGTTTCTCAGTATTTTCCAAACTTACAATAGAAATTCAACTACAGTAGACCCCCAAAATTCATGGGGGTTAAGTTCCTGCAGCACCTATAAATTGTGGAAAACCATGAATTTCAGATATGAGCTGAAAAATGCCTATTTATATTTTAAACCTTAAATATAGCTGGGTGTGGTGTGACACATCTGTAATCCCAGCATTCAGGAGGCTGAGGCAGGAGGATCATCGCAAATTCAAGGCCAGCCTGAACTGCGTAGTGAAACCCTATCTCAAAAAGACAAAAAACAAACAAACAAACAAAACACCCTTAAGTATGCTATATCTCCTACAGTTATATAATTTAATTTAATAAAATACTGTATTTTTCTAAGGCTTTAGCCTTAGAAGATGCAGGGCATTTTGGCAGCATCTTAGAGATCTTAGGACTTCAAGAACAAAACCAAGAACACTGGAGATAGCTACATATATAGCAACCTGTTAAGATGCAGGAGTGCTGGTGCCTGGGATTTAGCTCAGCGGTGCAGCACCTGCCTGGCAAGTGTGTGAGGTCCTGAGTTCACTCCTGGTACCCCCAAAAGATGTGGGACTGCTGATGAATCAGCTGGAGATGGGTTACAGGGCAGCAGCCAATCAGCAGCAAGGAGAACTGAATAATGCTCTTGGATTGGCTATTTGCAGACCTCCTGCCAAAAAATAATTGCGAAGGATATTTGTGGTTTCCACAAAATTGCCAGGGTTTCTGCCAACAATTGTTAGTTAGGTTCTAAGGAAAAATCTGTGAATGAATGTGGCCATGAACTTTCAACTGTGAATTCACAGGGATATACTGTATAGCTAAAATGACTTATGTGAAGGAAACATTTAAAATACCACAAAATCAACAGCGGTCAAAGTTGTACCTCATATTTCTTGAGCTGTAATTCAATACACACACACACATGCACATATGCTCATGCACTTTTTATCTGACTGGGGCTAGACAGGGATATGTCACTTGACCTTTTCAAATGTACCATCATGTGGTGGATTGACAACTGGTGGTCAACTTATAACACCCAGCTGAACTGAATCAGCATGGTGCTTGGGGTGGGAGGCCCACCTGAGGATTGTTGCCAGCACCATAAGAGGCAGAACTGGAGAAGAAGAAGAAGTGAGGCTGTTGAGAGTAGAGAGAGGCTTTTGGGAGCTGGTAGAAGCTGTAAAGAGCTGTTGGTTCTCTTGGAGGAGCTTGTCATGCTGGCTTTCCTGACGAGCTCAGCTGTTCTCATCGTCCGAGGAACTCGGGACCTTGTTGTCACTAAGAATGGCTTCGGTTCACTTTGGGGGATCTTTGGTCCTCACTTTGAGTATCACTTCCTGGCTCTGAAGGGGAAGATGGTGCACTTCTCAGGCTTCTGGAGAAGCTTGTTGCATTGGCTTTCCTGATGGGAACTTGGCTTTCCTCGGCAGAGGAGCTTGGGACCTCACTGTTGTTGAGGATGGCTGTAGTACCTTTTGGGGGAGCTCTGGTTCTTACTTTGAGCATTGCTTCCTGGCACCAGTTCAGATCCCTTAGCCTGCTAGCACAGATCCTTCATCCTGCTGGCACAGACTTTCTAACTTCCACCCCTGACCTTTGGGTCTTCCCAGAGCAGATCCATGAAACAAGCCTGCATGAGACGTTGTCATGGGCTCTACACCTCCAGTTGGACTTGTGGGAGCCATTGTTAGGGGCTGTAGGTCTTCAGCTGAACTCATGTAGGACAGTACCGTGGGATCCAGGCCCTCAGCTGAATTCTTTGGTCTGTAGTGTGTGGACAGATTTCCTGCACTCTTTTGTATCTCATTCTTTGGGTGACTGTTATAAATAATACAATATATGATCTATACAGTATTGTTTCTCCTTGCAAAACCCCAAAGCATGACACACCACTGTTAGAAAAAATCTATTCAAAGTTCCTGTTAACTGCATTATCTTCACGTGTGAAAGACTATTATTATGATTCATTTATTGAGTATTTTATGCTGGATCTTCTTGTAGAGCCTATGAGAGATATGAGGAAAGTAAAACCCAATTCCTAACTTTAAAAAGTTGATAACCTAGGTACCATTATCTTCAATTGGCAATAACAAGAAATATTTGGATTTGAGTGTTAGCTCTTTCATTTACTATTGTTTGACTTTTGTCACGTTAGCTACCTTTTCAGAGCCTTTTCTTCTTTGTCTATTAAATGGGATCAGTATTATTTCCTCCTCAGAGTCATTGACCATTAAATCTGTTTTTATTGTTACTATTGCTGATCATCCACATCATATTTGTTTATATTGTAAACATAAGCTCTGTGTTGGTGACTTTCTAGGATTTTGAACGTTCCCGAGCCTTCAATTTTCTGAATGAAGTAAAGAAGAGGTTCCAGACTACTTATGGTTCAAGAGCACAGACAGCGCTTCCATATGCCATGAATAGCGAGTTCTCAAGTGTCCTGGCTGCACAGCTGGTAAGATCTTCCTTAGGATACAGTGTTTTCATTCATATTTTCTTTTTTTACCTTAAAGCACCATGAATATAGGGTCCTGACCTGTGGACCTGAGATTTAAAGCACCATGAATATAAGGTCCTGACACTTTTGTGATTGTGTTACTGTAAGCCAAAATAATACAATCTTCCTGTTAAAAATATAAAGGGGCATTTTAGGGTAGAAAGCTAATAATTGATGATATTCAGTATTAATAGTGCTCAGAATATCTCAGGATTGGGATGAATATTAAAAAGTTGTGTGTAGTACAACTATCAATCTAATGTTTAAAATAATTCAGCATACCAAATGACCTTTTAATCTGTACATAAACTTTCTACCCTTCCATGAGGTAAATTTCATTTTTGAACAGCTCAAGTTAGTCATTGCAGTCTGTTCATCTGTATAAATCCCTAATTTTCACATCAATGATGTTTTACATATTTATATCCCTTTAAAATATTACCATAATTAAGATAGAAGGCATTTCCATTGCCCTAAAATTTCCCTCATGTCTCTTCCCAGTCTGTTCCTCCTCCCAACACACTCTGCTGTAGGCAGCCACTAATTTATTTTCTGTCACTATAAATTAGTTTCATCTTTTCTAGAGTTTGTGTCTTAGTTACTTTTCTCTTGTTGCTGAGACAAAATACCTGACACCCAAAATTAAGGAAGGAAGGGTTTATTTAGCTCACAGTTTGTGGAGGTTTCAGTCCATACTTGGCTGGCTCCAAGGCAGCGTGCACACGCAGAGGGCAACAGTTCATGGTGGTGGAAAATAGCAAAAGCAACAAGAGCAAAAAGGGAGGAGGTGCAGAGAGCAAGCCTCTTTCCCTTCCTTACATTGTTAGCAAACTACCCGCTCCAGGGCAGGTGTAACACTCACACCCATAGTCCCAACACTGGACCATGGATCAATCATAAACTCTAGAAGCCTGGACCCATGACTACATGAGGCCTTCAGGGGACATCTAGATATAAACCATAACATTCCACCCCTGGACCCCAAATACTCATGTATACTCCATTTTGCAAAAGACATTTTAGTCCATCTTTAAGAGTTGCCGAAGTCCTAACAGTTTCAGCATTGCTGAAAAGTCCAAGTCCCAAGTCTCCTGTGAGATTTAAGGTAAACTCTCAGGTGTGAGCCCCTGTACAAATGAAAAGTTAAACACTTCCAACATTCAGTGGCACAAGCTAAACATTACCATTCCAAAAGGTGCAAACAAGGATACAGAGCATTGGGACCAAAGCAAGTCCAACATCCAGCAAGGAAAACATTAAGTCCTGTAGTTCCATGTCCAGCATCTGAAGCTATCTGTGGCACATTGTGAGCTCCAAAGCGCTTCCATGACTCTACCCCTATGGCACTTCTGGTGGTTACAGCTCCCATGGCTTCTCTTGTAGACCTGCTTTGCTCCCTTCTTGCCGCTTTCCTCAGACAGTCCATGTTCCTGGCTTTTCCAAACTTCTAGTTTCTCAAATGCACCTTTTGCTTCACACTCACAGCTTCACACACTGACTTCTCAGGGGCACATTGCCTGACCTCCTAGGC